GAGTGGAAAGGAAATATTTTCAAATACTTAGAGATGTGTGGATGAGGAAGAATTACTAAATAAAGCTGGAGTTGTGAATCAAAGGATTATAGACCAAAATTTGGGGAAAGGAGGTAAGGGAGAGAAAGGACAGAAGATAAAATGTAGTGAGAAAGGTTAAATAGATCTTTTGTTATGAAAATATTGACCCTTAATTTTCCAAACTTTCTCACTTCTTTATCTTTTGTCCTTTCCCCGCATTTGGGTCTATAATCCTCCAAGTCACAACTCCAGCTTTATTTAGTATTTCTTCCAATGTTGCAAGATTTGACTACATTGTGCCAAATGTGGCTACGTTTTTGTTTTGTTTGATGAAAAAAGTATCATTTGGCGCTTTGGCTACTTTTTGGGCTACATATTATTTATAAATGCAGTGGTACCTCGGTATACGTCTGCTTTAGAATATGTCCAATTCGGAATACATCCTGTTTTCTACGAAACAAATTTTGCTCGGTATACGACTTAATTCAATTATATGCGACATCTATGAACAAGTAGCACTATTGGTGTACTACACCAGACAAGATGTTCGCGGTACCAAAATTTAAAACAGGGGTGGGCAAGCAAGAGGTCAGTGGGAGCCGAAATGTAGGTTTTGCAAAATGCACGCGAGCCACACTTCTGTATTTTTTTATTCTGTAATGCAGTTCTGTACTGCGATTTTATTATACAATATAAATATTATATAAAACAAATATTGAATTTTTTTAATAAACATATTTTCACAAAATTGTAGAAATAAAATTGTAAAAATAATAATAAAAAGCAGAAATTAACACTTTCAGCAAGAGCTGCGCGTAACTCAAAAAGAGCCGCATGCGGCTCTCGGAGCCACATTTGCACATGGTGGGTTTATAACTTTGTTAAATTTCATCTGATTTTAATTTGTAAGTAAAATTTTATTATTTTTATTAATCATGAATTGCAAAAAGGCAAATGAAAAGCAACAGAAAACTAAAAAGTGACTAGAATCAAAATGGAACTGAAAAAAGAGATTGTTGAGAAATATGAAGGTGGCATGCAGGTTTGAGATTTAACTGTTGCATACTGTATTCTGAGAATGACAATATTGACAATTATGAAAAATAAAGACATTATTAAATCTGCTAATGTTGCGAAAGGGGTTAAATCAATTTCTAAACAGAGATCGAAGACATTAGATCATGTTCAGAAATTGCTTTTGCTTTGGATAACTGAAAAACAGTGTGCCGGCGATAGCGTATCGGAAGCAATTATTTGCGAGAAAGCTAAAAAGATACATGCTGATCTCATGAAAAATTAAACAGGAACTAGCCAGGAAAGTGAGGTGTTTAAAGCCAGCCATTTTTTTTACATTAGAATAGATTAACGTAAAAAAAATGGCTGGCTTTAAACACCTCACTTTAATCATTTTTACATTACTTCTTTTGGGAAAGGTTGGTTTGGTATACGTCCTATTCAGAATAAGTCCAAACATCAAGAATGGATTAAGGTCGCATACTGTATATTAGTTGAATAAAAATGCACTTTAAAATGGTGTTTTGTCACTTTTTATTAATTAGAGACCCAAATAAAACAAATATTTGTGTTTTTCAAATAAATTTTTATTTATCTCCTTTATAATAAATGAATTTATTTATTTCTAAGTAAANAAAAAAAAAAAAAAAAAATATTTGTGTTTGCCAAATAAATTTTTGTTTGTCTCTTTTATAATAAATGAATTTATCTATTTCTAAGTAAAAATTGAAAGTGTCTGTAATAGTAAATTTTTAAAATATCATTTTTCGTGATAAAGTTTTAATACTTATTATTATAATCTAGCATAGTAATCCTTAAATATACTTGTATATTCGGCCATAAGTAAATATTATATATACTTGTGGCACGAAACTCTGAATACTTCCAATGCGGCCCAGAGAAACAAAAAAGGTTGGACACCCCTGCTCTAAAATATTCTTGATTTGTCTACATTGGCTGCTTTAAAAGTGATATCAAGCTTATTACCCAATAATTCGGCAGTTTGTTTGATGTTAATAATCAGTTTTATGAAAAAAATATTCATATTTGCAGACTTTGTACTCAATTCTATCCTTCCCCAATTTGCACAATCTGACATAATGCAGTTATTGAAGCTACTGGGCATAATTAAAATTAAGACAGCATTGGTACAATTATTCCAGATATTACAGGATCTGACAAGTAAAGAATTTTCAGTCCTGCCACAAATACATATTGATTATTGACAATCTGTGAGATGTCATAACATGCAAAAATTTAAAAAACTAATAAACAGGCTTAAAATTAATAAATACAAATGTATTCGGACAGTTTATGGGTTAAATATACTTTCAATTTGCAAAATTTCCTCAAATTTAACACAAAATAAGAAAAAAGTGAACTTTTAAGAAATTTGTGGTATTTCCCGGGATGAGAAAAATTTCCCCGGTTAAAAAACCAGGCAGGATCACAGGATCCCATTTGAGAAACCCTAATACATACCTAACAACTAATCCTACTGTTTTTTCCCCTTCAAAGTTTCTTTCAACAGTTTGTAAAGAACAATCTAATAATCAAATTATTATATAACTTTAGTATACAGCTTGATAGCACATAGTATTGACTTTTTGTACTAAATATATGTCAGCAAATTACCTCATAAATTCACTTCATGCCATAAAAGCCAGAAAACTAGGACACTATTCTACTTTTTTTTCATTTCAAATTTTCATTAATTTTTGAAATGATTCAACACCGCGGGTCTTATCTCACGAAGTGGTCCTTGTAGTTCACGATCATTATGATTCTTNCTATTTGCAAAATTTCCTCAAATTTAACACAAAATAAGAAAAAAGTGAACTTTTAAGAAATTTGTGGTATTTCCCGGGATGAGAAAAATTTCCCCGGTTAAAAAACCAGGCAGGATCACAGGATCCCATTTGAGAAACCCTAATACATACCTAACAACTAATCCTACTGTTTTTTCCCCTTCAAAGTTTCTTTCAACAGTTTGTAAAGAACAATCTAATAATCAAATTATTATATAACTTTAGTATACAGCTTGATAGCACATAGTATTGACTTTTTGTACTAAATATATGTCAGCAAATTACCTCATAAATTCACTTCATGCCATAAAAGCCAGAAAACTAGGACACTATTCTACTTTTTTTTCATTTCAAATTTTCATTAATTTTTGAAATGATTCAACACCGCGGGTCTTATCTCACGAAGTGGTCCTTGTAGTTCACGATCATTATGATTCTTTTGTTCCTNATTCGAAGCTCTCATTTGTACAGTTGAGTTGGCATTTGTAACGATTTTAATTACAGGAGGAATTGCGTATGGTCTACTGTTAGGCGCTTTATTTATACTTGTCCTCCAGAAAGAATTTGAAGCACTTAATTACGAAATGTCTGCGATAAGAAGAAGCGACAGAAATTTGAAAATGAAATTACAAAATTTGATGATCCGTCACCAAGAATTGTGGATTTACATGAATCAGTTGAACACAAAATTCGAATTGCCTTTCGTACTTGTTTATTTCGAAATAATTTGGGGCACGAGCTTTTTGTATTACGCATACTTGTACGTCGATATGCATTGGATTTTTAAAATTTTCATGTTNGACTTTTTGTACTAAATATATGTCAGCAAATTACCTCATAAATTCACTTCATGCCATAAAAGCCAGAAAACTAGGACACTATTCTACTTTTTTTTCATTTCAAATTTTCATTAATTTTTGAAATGATTCAACACCGCGGGTCTTATCTCACGAAGTGGTCCTTGTAGTTCACGATCATTATGATTCTTTTGTTCCTTTTACTCGTATAGAAATTTTCTACAATCTTGGCAGATTGCCAACAGCATCAGGCAGAGATAAAATCTTATCAAACTGTATGAAAACAAGACAAAAAAGTAGCTATAAGTCTATTTTACCATTTCACAGTAGGCACTTTTCCCGGGTAAGCGAGCCAATGACAGAAGATCGTTTGAAAGGTATTATGTCAATGGTTTGCTTTTGGTTCATTTATGTCAACGGTTACCCGATAAAGCGGCTTTAAAAACCACTTTACTGGGCACCAGGACCAGTATTTGACAACAAAAACGATATCAAGTACAGCGATTAAAACACTTTTTTGTATTAAACCGTCAACACAGAAAAAAACATAAATGCAACTTAAAAACTAACGTTTTCATCTGCCAAGATTAATCAGTGCTTTCACTTGCGGCCAAACAGAAAAAAACACCGAATACCAATAGTCGTTGGCAAGTTCTTGCCTCGCCGACAAGCCGGCCAAAGTTTTTTTTGGTGTAAATGGGTGCTGGCTTCCCATAAATCCTCCCGAAAGGCACTTTCCTCTCAGCAGATCGCCCACTTGTCGCTTTGCCTCGTATCTTCAATCTAAGTTTAATTATGTGTTTTTGATGGAAGAATATCATGAAAAAGGAATATTAAATGCTGAATATACTCTATATACTGTTATCTAGTGGAAGTTTCTTCCAGTTATATTGTCTGTATATACCCACAATTATTGAATTCTTTAACTTCTAGTTAACTCCAATGTCTTATAATACATAAAATTCTCTTTGAAACAAATGTTTTATTTTATATTTTGCAACTTAAATTAATTTATTTATCGTACAAATTACATATTATCAAATGTCTCTTCTTCATTAAACTCATTTTATCCCCCATCAGTCCGAATAATTCCCTAAAGATTTAGGGAAAAATTCTTGTAAATCCATACTATTGTTTATATAATATANTTACAAATAGCTTTTTTGTTTTTCATGTTTGTTCCTTTGAGTAACTAATGTGTTAAATATAAATAAAACAAAGTATTTGTGTACTTTCCAATTTATAGTAAGATATGTCGTCAAATATGGAAAACAGAAATATCAAATAAAATACCAATCTTAGGAGATTGTGTGTCAATTCTTTAAGAATGAAATAATGCACATTCATACAACTATCTTACCAAAGCCAGATGATGGAAATTCCGCTAAACCAATGTTACGAAACATCTCCTCAAAGTGCTTAAACATTTCCGAAGCTTCAGTAAAGAGAGAACCATGACCAAAAGATCCAAACCTACTGCCAAAGAACTCGGACTGGTCATCTTCCCACGTTTCACATTCTGAACATTCCGGTTGTTCGAAGAAATCTTGAAAAGGATCTCTCCTGAAAATTTAAACAGTAAATAAATATTAATTATTGCCAAATTTTATTATATTAATAAAGTAAAAATAAGAGTGATTTGTAGAAAATGCCACAACTATGTTTAAGTCCTTGTTTATAAACCACATGTCTCAAAAAACTAAATTTCAGGATAGGTTCTAGATCAGCAATGGCTAACCTTTTCCAGAGGTGGGTCAAAATGACTAACTCCAAATATTTAATTTAAATTTAAAAGAAACAAAACAAAAAATGCTTACAAATTTTACTTTATTTAGCATTTTAATCTATATCAGAAAAATAACAAATTTTGTATAATTGAAATGAAAATAATGTGATTACACATGACCAAACATTTCATTTAATGAAAAAATCTGCTCCTGTTTATTTGATATTTTTATATGAGGCTCCTTTAAGACTTTCCATGATAGTTTTAGAATCTTGTTTTCACACTACAGTAGACCCCCCTATAACATGGGTTCCTATAATTACAATTCCTATAAGATGGCGAAAAAATTGCAACAGTATCCGTACAAACCTAGTAAAAAAACTCCTATAATTTGGTAAAATGTCATCGGGCAGCCGAACCACTTTCCGCCGTCCAGCACCACGCTACGGAAAATTTAGGCGGGTAAATTGAGTTTACTATCGTCTGTACAGTATTATATATAAATTAGGTACTGTACATATAATCATATATTAATTATATATAAATTAGGTACTGTATATATAATTATATATTAACTTAATTTATTGTAACTTTATTATAATTATATATATACTTTCCACCATCCAGCGCCACGCTACAGAGAGTTTAGGCAAGTAAGTTGTTTACTATCGTCTGTACAGTATGTAAATTAGGTACCGTAAGTCTAATACAGTACTGTACTTTTATACATTTCTTGTGAAAGAAACATTTCTTATTCAATGGCCATAAAAATTATTTATATTAATGATGTCTCCAAAATTCAACAAAGTTTTCGCAGAAAAATAACTTATCAGAAATTGTGGCCGCGGTTTGGTGCATTGCTCCGCAACGAAAACAAGCTTGAGCAATGGCGACGTCAAACGGTGCACACTCGGTAAGTAATCCTACAATTTTTTGTTTATAGCATAGTTTATATGGATTATTCCCAAAAAATATACGTATTTTGGAAATGTTGAGTAAAATTAGTCTAGAATCAATTAATTTTATGAAAGAAAAAGTTTCAAACAGCCGTAGTCCATAAACTGCACATGTGCCGGGCTGTGGCTCATGTATTTAAGGATTCTTACAATGCGAAATTCTTAAAGAGGAACATATCTACTGCGTTATGGGGGGGTCGACTCTATTAAAATTACCTTTGAATTATGTAGAAATTTTCTCAAATAGAAAAAATTTATTAAAGTTTATTGGAAACTGCTTACAACAAAAAAAAAGGCNGCAAATGAAAAGCAACAGAAAACTAAAAAGTGACTAGAATCAAAATGGAACTGAAAAAAGAGATTGCTGAGAAATATGAAGGTGGCATGCATGTTCGAGATTTAACTGTTGCATACTGTATTCTGAGAACTACAATATTGACAATTATGAAAAATAAAGACATTATTAAATCTGCTAATATTGCGAAAGGGGTTAAATCAATTTCTAAACAGATATCGAAGTCATTAGATCATGTTGAGAAATTGCTTTTGCTATGGATAACTGAAAAACTGTGCTGGCGATAACGTATCGGAAGCAATTATTCACGAGAAAGCTAAAAAGATACATGCTGATCTCATGAAAAATCAAACAGGAACTAGCCAGAAAAGTGAGGTGTTTAAAGCTAGCCATTTTTTTTTACATTAAAATGGATTAATCATTTTTACATTACTTCTTATGGGAAAGGTTAGTTTGGTATACGTCCTATTCAGAATAAGTCCAAACATCAGGAATGGATTAAGGTCATATACCGAGGTTCCACTGTATATTAGCTGAATAAAAATGCACTTTAAAATGGTGTTTCGTCACTTTTTATTAATTAGAGACCCCCAAAAAAAACAAAATATTTGTGTTTTTCAAATANCCAAAGATGGTCAATACTCCGATCACTCAATATGGTTATTGTTTTAATAAAGAAAAGTCCTGCTACTGACAATGAATACGGGTAGAATCATCTTTAATGGATTTAAGATAAGACAAATGTTGTGTTTTTTCATCCATACCCTCAAAAATTTCTAGTTTGTTTTCGAAATGCGTTGCAGTACTTTTTTTGCTCTAAAGCAGGGGTGTCCAACCCGCGGCCCAATAAACGTTTAAACAAACCCGACAAATGTTTTAATTTTTTTATTGTTTATTTATTTCAATGGCATAAACTCAAAAACGAAGTTTCACAAGATTGTAAACCTTTAATCATATTTTATTTTTTAGTGGAAAGACAATATTTTCAAATACTTGGAGATGTGTGGATGAGGAAGGATTACTAAATAAAGCTTGAGTTGTGAATCAAAAGATTATAGACCCAAATTTGGGGAAAGGAGGGATGGGAGAGAAAGGACAGAAGATAGAACGTAGTGAGAAAGGTTAAATAGATCTTTTGTTATGAAAATATTGACCCTTAATTTTCCAACCTTTCTCACTTCTTTATCTTTTGTCCTTTCCCCGCATTTGGGTCTATGATCCTCCGAGTCACAACTCCAGCTTTATTTAGTATTTCTTCCAATGTTGCAAGATTTGACTACATTGTGCCAAATGTGGCTACGTTTTGTTTTGTTTAATGAAAAAACTATCATTTGGCGCTTTGGCTACTTTTTGGGCTACATATTATTTATATCAATAAATACAGTGGTACCTCGGTATACGTCTGCTTTAGAATACGTCCAATTCGGAATACATCCTGTTTGGATGAAACAAATTTTGCTCGGTATACAACTTAATTCAATTATATGCGCCATCTATGAACAAGTAGCACTATTGGTGTACTACACCATACTAGACGTTCGCGGTACCACAGTTTATAACAGGGGTGGGCAAGCAAGAGGTCAGTGGGAGCCGAAATGTAGGTTTTGCAAAATGCATGGGAGCTGCAGTTCTTTGCTTTTTTATTCTGTAATGCAGTTCTGTACTGCAATTTTATTATATAATATAAATATTATATAAAACAAATATTGAATTTTTTTAATAAACATATTTTCACAAAATTGTGGAAATAAAATTGTAAAAATAATAATAAAAAGCAGAAATTAACACTTTCAGCAAGAGCTGCATGTAACTCAAAAAGAGCTGCATTTGCCCATGTTTGGCATATGGCTTCTCTTAAACATTTCACCATTTCTATGTACTGTTGATTGTATGATCTTCAGGATAAATTCATAGTGGATGATGTCTTTTTTGTAAAAAACCTCCAGCTTAATCTTAACCTTGGATTGATCAGCCAGAAAGTTCTTTGGTTGATTGCAGTGATTATGGTGTTTTTACAGATAATATTGCAGTTTTGTCTGAGGAATGTACAGGAAATACTAGGTTTTATCTGTTGTGATAATGTTTCCAGATGTGTTTGGTCATTATCCACTGTAGTGATGTTATCCCCAGAGATTATCATGTGTTCGTCCATGTCAGCATCAAGTTCTTTGAAAGCATGTGCTCACACATGATGCCTGTTCAGGACATAATGAAAATGATTAATAGCTACTGTGGGAGATTCCAGTTCATTGACAGTCAAATGACAATTTCCATGCACAAGAGTCCTGATATNGTGCCACAGTTTATAACTTTGTTAAATTTCTTCTGATTTTAATTTGTAAGTAAAATTTTATTATTTTTATTAATCACGAATTGCAAAAAGGCAAATGAAAAGCAACAGAAAACTAAAAAGTGACTAGAATCAAAATGGAACTGAAAAAAGAGATTGCTGAGAAATATGAAGGTGGCATGCATGTTCGAGATTTAACTGTTGCATACTGTATTCTGAGAACTACAATATTGACAATTATGAAAAATAAAGACATTATTAAATCTGCTAATATTGCGAAAGGGGTTAAATCAATTTCTAAACAGATATCGAAGTCATTAGATCATGTTGAGAAATTGCTTTTGCTATGGATAACTGAAAAACTGTGCTGGCGATAACGTATCGGAAGCAATTATTCACGAGAAAGCTAAAAAGATACATGCTGATCTCATGAAAAATCAAACAGGAACTAGCCAGAAAAGTGAGGTGTTTAAAGCTAGCCATTTTTTTTTACATTAAAATGGATTAATCATTTTTACATTACTTCTTATGGGAAAGGTTAGTTTGGTATACGTCCTATTCAGAATAAGTCCAAACATCAGGAATGGATTAAGGTCATATACCGAGGTTCCACTGTATATTAGCTGAATAAAAATGCACTTTAAAATGGTGTTTCGTCACTTTTTATTAATTAGAGACCCCCAAAAAAAACAAAATATTTGTGTTTTTCAAATAAATTTTTGTTTGTCTCTTTTATAATAAATAAATTTATCTATTTCTAAGTAAAAATTGAAAGTGTCTGTAGAAGTAAATTTTTAAAATATCATTTTTCGTGATAAAGTTTTAATACTTATTATTATAATCTAGACATGTTAATCCTTAAATATACTTGTATATTGGGCCACAAGTATATATTATATATACTTGTGGCACAAGTATACTTGTGGTTGACTTGGCCTTTCAATACGGCCCAGAGAAACAAAAAGGTTGGACACCCCTGCTCTAAAGTATTCTTGATTTGTCTACCTCGGCTGCTTTAAAAGTGATATCAAGCTTATAACCCAATAATTCGGCAGTTTGTTTGATGTTAATAATCAGTTTTATGAAAAAAATATTCATACAGTGAAACCCCGAACTTATGCGATAGGTGGGACCGAGCGATAACCGTGTAAGTCGGGATATAATTTCGCAATTTGTCTAAAATCCAAGTCAGATGTATGTAAACTAATAAATGTTCTCGTTAATCTTATCTCATCTTTTGATTCATTCACGGTTACAAGAAATCACCACGTAGAGACTCTCGCGTCTCCGTAGATA